TTATTTTTCGCAATGCGGACTACTGAATCATTCTAGCTTACAATTATTCAACCCGGGGCGCGTGCGGTGACATAAAGTGTCAGTTGTGGACTATGTTTCCAAACCGATTCAGATTTTGCAGGCAACTTCGAACTCGGACGTTGATATAACACAAAAGCGCCCTCTTGTGCACATTTTTCTTTTAAATATAGGTACAGAAAGTATTGGTTGACATCTTTCCCCTTACCAACGAACGTTATTTGGATCAATATCTATGCACGGATGTAATAAAAACGGTTTTGAGCGGTGGGGCATTTCGAAACACACTCATGAGTAGCGTGACTATCGAGTTGCGCTCATGAGTCCTCCATGGTCTACTACGGTTTTGGTGATAATAGCATGGTAAAAATGAGATACGGTTGACGATGCAGAACCGATCGTAAAGACACGACGATTTTCTCTCTCTCTCTCTGATTGCGTTGGAAACCAGCGTTCGAGAGAAACCATGTGATTTTAAGCACACCAAATGTGTACATAGTATATGATGACTTCTTATTCATAATTCCAAGCCCCCATAGTCGTGCTGTGCTATCTATATATACGTCTCTGGTGATAAAAATGCGTACCGTAGTTGTTTTTCGCACCCATTGAGTTGGTTTTTATTGAGTAAAAGCAGCGTCCACCAGTGTGCTTGAATTGAAAATCGCACTGTTGTATTGTTAATGATTCATTAGAAGGATGAAGCAGCTGTACAGCGATTTCGTTCATTTTCAACGATGAGTTCAGCTGGTGATTAATCAAGTCAGCTCGTTGTCGGTCGGCTTGGCCGACACAGCACGTGTTGCTGACCCGCAGAGCATGTTCACCAAAAAAAGATCCCATGTGATATCTTACGCCACACACACACACACACAAACACACACACACACACACTGTTTATTAGAGAAGATAAATGCGATCATCGTTCATCCGTTTACTCGTGTATTCTATAGAGTGACAGGATATCGATCAGTTATATCCTCCTCCCCATCCTCGGGACTAGTCCTACCGCCACAAACGCGACCATAACTTTGGTGACCACTATATCAAAAATTACCATAATGGTATTCGGACTATATCGTATAACCGTCGTTCCAGAATAAAATAGCTCATGGTTTTTCAGAAAAAAAACCCTGGGCCGATTGCAACGACCAATTCGGTGCAAAGTAATCAATCATCATCTGTCTTGGCTTTTTTCTCTCCGTTAGAAATCAATAAATATGCTGTTCGGACCAGTTATACGCTAGAATGATCGACTCGAATTCAGAGCATTCACTAAGTTAAACAGCTCAACTTAATCCAGGAACCACTGTCCTTCTCTGGTTGATATAGCTTTAAATTCGTTCAATACTTCACATTCATATTCTTCTTTTCGACGCCTAGATTGATTCGCTGGTAGTTAATCTAAAGACCAAAGCGTGGATTTGATACAGGTTTTTCTTTTAGGTAAGTCGCTTAATCACCAAGTTTAAAAACAGACGGCTTACTATGCAAAAATAAGCACATCAATTGACACAATGCACTTAAAATCTTCAATCTTTAGTTTGTCCTCAACTGACTACTTTATCAGCTTATCCAACGTGGGTTTGCGTTTAAATCCACATTGAACTTTAACCGGATACAATTTATCACTACAAGAGAGGAAATGATGAAAGTTGTTATGAAATTCAGACAAATGGGTAGTTTAGAGGTCGATCGCTCATCTGCCTACTTTTCCCCTTTGGTATCCTCGTTGTGTTCACAAAGGTGAGGGTTTTCTGGCTTGTAATCGTAATCTGAAAATCGTGATTGTCACGCTTCAGCACCACTAAGTATTTTAGTCTTTCCAGATGGTTAGTGAGTGAACGGTTATAACTCTAATTCTACTGTCTGGTAAAATGAGTACACAACTCCCATAATCTGGAACCCATCTCTGGGGTTTTCGGGGTCCGTTTTGATAAGGATTTGAATAAAGTGCCACACGAGGTAATTGATTGGGAGTATGACTCGATGGAAGCTAAACCATTCACTCAAAGACATCTATCTCATCCCTTATTCTCAGATTAATGGATGCAGGCGTAAGAGGTATTATCTGGTCCCGCCGGAAAATGACCCTTGATTTCTTCTGCGTTGCACAGACATTCGATTGTTTCTACCCAGTACCCCGTTTGGACATTATGACAACACCACACTCTGGTTAAAAACGGACATGCCGATCCCAATTACCCAAATTACACTGACCTTTTATTTTCGTGCTTTAGGGAAAAAATATTAGATCCTATTCAACCGCATATGCTGCGTCTAACTGCGTTTTGTTCCCTCATTTATTCATGTGGTATTCATGTCTTCAGTCGGTCCCGGCCCTCTTCCGGAGTGTTTAATCGTTATGAACTGTCAGATAACGCATTCTGTGTTTGCTGTGGTTCGATTTGTTTTCACCTTCCCCTGTCAGACCCTATGCACGTCCGGTATCCGTATGTACATTTCATACTTTAGGAACTTGACGGCGATTAGCGAATTGCGCACCACCGACATTCGCTCTACCACCACAACAACGAAGACTACAATGCCGGGCATCGTCGAGTCAATGATCAAAAGAAATCCGTAGTCTAGTTGAGCTTGTGTTATGTTACATTCATTTTCGCACAACTTTCACACATGATTAACAGTTTTCTAAGCCCATAAGCGACATAATTTTAAGAGATCAGAATTAGTAGAGTTTTCGTGGTTTACCACTGTCTCTCTCTCTCACACACACTTGACACTCCCTGTCGTCTTTCACGTCTGGGTCCTAGATACTACCGATCCTATCGAAATCAGTTAAATTAAAAACATTGATTGATTTGACTGCCTATCCTTCGGACTTCACCTTTACGAACAATCCTCAACTCATTGATTCAACCATACTCTCGGAGAATGGTTGAATCGATGACCTGATGATTGTGTGCGTGAAGGTGAAGTCCGAAGGATAGCCAGTCAAATCAATCAATATCAATTATCCCACATTACTACTCACAAGTAATTGTGAGTTGAATGCAAATTAAAATAAGCCAAGGGCACTTTTTGTATGATTGAAAGCGTCTCAGAATGCATGACAATAAGTACATCCACATGGATCCATTGGGAGTCAT